CATTATCTGATTTCTTAAGTTTGGAGAAATAGGATAATACTGTAGCAATATTCAGATAATGAATTAATATTTTATGTGAACTGTGACTAGTGGAAAACATTACAGGACTTCAGTGTAAGTCTATTTCAGATAAAAGACACAACTTTCTTTCAGTTGGATCATTGTATACAGGCCCTGTCTTGTTTGCTAGAAAAAGCTGTATCCTAAATCTCGCATTTGACTGTCATACATTTCTGCCAGTCTTCTTGCCATGTATAGGCTAGAAGGGCCTACTGGCCTATCCAGCCTGGATTTTTCTCAGCTCCAACCAAGCACTGTAATGTCCTTGGGCAGGAAAAACAGAGTGAATTCACTAGCACTGAATCATAATTTCCCCCTCTTTTCTATGTTGTATTTAAGATAGGTGTGAGGTCACCAATTGTGTCCTTGCATCTTTTCTAGGGCCCTGGTGCTAAATGCATGAGTCACTGAGTCAAGGCATAAGATGATAGTCTAACACACAGAAGCCAGGAAGGAGCTTGGTCCTGCATACATGATAGATTTCAATGTACAATTATGTCAGCCTGTTGTTGTTGCATTTATATCCCACCCTTTTTTGTCTTGTGAGAAACCCATGGCTTTCAAAGCTCCATTTTATCCTCACAACAACAACCTTGTGAGAAAGGTTGGGCTGAGAGTAAGTGACTGTCCCAAAGACAGTCAGTGCGCCTCATGGCAAAGTGGGGACTAGAACTCAGATCTCCCAGATCCAGTCCAACACTTTAACTACCGCATCATTAGTCTTTGGAAATCAGATATTCCATCCAAACTCGTCTTAATTTTTTTATCTTAAACCTTTATAGGCTTGAAATAGTAACAACATATATTTCTTATTTATCTACCAGTTTCTTACATGTTCAGGATTTCACATATATTAATTCTGTAGTACTTACAAATTTAAGTCCTTACCTGTTATTCCTCACGTTGCAAATGGTAGCAAAGGCTAAGAGACAGCAGCTTATCTAACTCTTTTATGAGCAGTTAATTGCTGAAATGAGATTTTAATTGTGGTGTTCCCAGTTCATAAGTCTGTGCTATTAACCTTTTGTGCCAGTGTTTTTTGACATTTTAAACTCCTGCCAAGCTGTATCCCCGTGTTCCATTAAAGAGAGGACTGTAGCTAGGTGCTGGACTGTAGCTCAGTAGTAGAGCACAAGCTTTATACAGAAAATTGCAGGTTCATTCCCCAGCATCTCCTGCTGCTGTGGCTATAAGGTTCAGCAGACTGCTGTCATAATCCAGCATTGGCATAATCCTATACAATCTGCAAACTTGCCAGGCATATGCCAAATGAGTAAAATATGGAAGCATGCTATCAAAGAGCACAATTCTGCACTTTTGTAGATGTTACCAAAGGCGTAAGAATCTGTGTGAATCAACTCGGTAGGGCAACTGTTGAAACTAGGCTATGAGAGCCACCACCTGTAGCTGTTGCAGTTCATCTAGATGAGCTACACCAGAGCATATGGCTCACTTGCCATGAGCATAGTGCCCAGCACCTACTTGTTTCTGATGCCAGCATCACCTCCAGGACATTCATGCTCGGAGCAGAACTGGCAATATTAACAGTGTAGCAATAGGTAACTCAACTTCTGCGTGGACTGAGGTGGAGGGGCTGGTGCCACAAAATGGTGCTTCTGGCACATATCCACTTTGGAGTCCTGAACAGCATCATTAATAGGGAGCGGTTCATCATGTAAGCTACAAGCCATCTTCCAAATCAAAACCAACCAACCCACACTTGGTGGCATATATCTTCCTCTCCATTTTATCCTGTAGAGTAGGTTAGTTAGTGACTGACTCAAAGTCATCCAGTGACTTTCATGACCAAGCAGGGACTAGAACCTCAGTCCTGTTTTTACTTTCTTTTTGATTTATATCCTGCCTTTTTTCTACAAAGGGCTCAAGGCAGCTTACATCTCCTCCTCCATCTTACCCCACATCAGCAACCCTGTGAGATAGGTTGGGCTGAGAGTCTGTGACTGGCCCAAAGTCACCCAGTTGGCTCCATGGCCAAGCAGGGACTAGAACCCAGATCGCCTGAGTCCCAGTCCCATGCTCTTAACCACTACACCACACTAGCTCTAGTCCCTTGAGTCCAAGTCCAGATTTCTAAGCACTATACCACACTGATCCTGAAGTATCTTATTGCAAATGTACTTCCAAAAGCACTGTTTGGGTTTATACCCCTAGACCTACTTTCTGAGGTGTACCTTCTGGCTACCATAAAATACTCTGGGATCAGTAGTCATATTGCTGCCCATCTGTTTGAGTCTTTAGAAAAGGGGTGCTGAACCTTTTTCAGCCCAAGGGTCAAATTCCATTTTGAAGAACCTCTCAGGGACAGCATTCTAGAGATGGGATGAGGCTGAATGCGGAAAGACTGGGCCAATTATCCAGCGTATTTTATGTTAAAGCTCTGATTGGTAGTAACTAAGCCTTGGGGCAGGCATTTCAACATTTTAGAATGGGTGAAAAAAGTTCAAAGCCTGTGAAACCTCTAAACTACTGATCATTCAGGGAAATCAGGTGGGGGTCAGACACAGGCATAGGCTCTTCTGAGACCCTGAAGGGCCCAAATGAGATCCTAGGCCTGATGTTCTACGCCCCTTTTCAGAGCAAATAGGTCCATTGCTCTCCACTCATTTCACTTATTTTGTTTTAATCTATCTTGATTCCTGAGGCACACACTCTTGCATTCTGACACAGGAAACTCCAAATCAGTGAGACTCTTTTATTGTAGCAAGTCCTGTGGTGAAAACTTAATGGTTTCAGAAATAAGTTAGATGATGATTTTTACAGGCTCCATAAGAAATTCCAAAGGCATCAAAACTGAAGCTTCCATGTGGCGTGAAGTGCCTGACCCAGCCTAATCTTGGAAGTTAGGCAGGGTCAGGCGCAGTCAGAACTGGCATGGGTAACTTGAGTGTATGATTCTATGATTGTTGTAATCTGTCCAGAGAGCTTTGACTATGGGCAGTATAACAAAATGGAATAATAATAACAACAACTGTAACCATGTTAGAGATACATACAATTTGGTTTACTTGTTGCAATTTTTGCTGCTCAGAATACAGAACAAGGAGCTCAAAAGATTATTGGCATGAGCAATTCCAGGCAATCTGAAGCAAGTGTTTTCATATACAGGATATGGGCTCAAATGACTCCTGGTGTACATCATCCCAAGCAGTTAAAGACAGATGCTTTAGAAAAAGACCTAAATAAATCCACACATGCAGAGATTTAATGCAGTCTTGAATTCTTTGTTGGAGCCTCCATGCTGCATGGGTCAAGGCCTATCAAATACAAGAGTCAAAGCTGTGTCAGGCCCTAACCCTAATCCCACACATGCAGAGTTTTGGACAAGCATACCTTCTTCTTTGATATCTCCACATTACATAGATCCAGGTTTACAAAAGTCCAGGCATCAGAATCAGTCCAAGTCAGCAGTAGGCATATTGATGCCAAAGATCAGAATCCTTAGCAAAGAAGAATGCAGACTCTGAATAGCAATATATAGTGATATTTTTCATGTCAGCTTCTTAGCTATACAAAATTTAAAAAGACAAGACACCATATGGGGTGATGAGTACATATGTGCCCCAAGTGGTTAAATTTTGAATGGAGAAAATTTCAGGCAGTAAAACCAAGAATTTTCCTACCAAAGCCTCCTACCCGACAAGGGTAACCCATCAATGAAGTCGCCTGCCCAAGCAGGCTGTCTCCCTTCTGCCCTTCTTCCTTTGTGGCACATCTAAAACCCACCTCCTCTTCTATTAGCTAAACTAAACTGGTGTGATTGGGGGTCTGCATAGGGCTAGGGTTAGGGTTATGACATTGTCTGGGAGGACATAGGATTATTTTGAGTCCCAGCTCCAAGCTTCTCCAGCTGCAGAGCTATGATTCAGAACATGGACACCCTGCCTCACCTCTTTCATAGGCAACATGGAAAGAACTAAATTGGCTGACTCCCTGAGGGCAGAAATCAGTCTGAGATGGCTAAAGAGGCATGAATGGAGGCCAGAAGGCTGGAGGCTTACTCAATATACAATCAGCACCCCAACCTCCTTCTCTTCCCCTCTGTGGGATTTCATGTAGATGCTGAAAATGCTTGTTTACAAGAATTCAGGGCACAAGGAACGGGGTGGGGGAGATTGCTGGTCCCACTGCACCTCATGTCCTGCATAGATTGCATCAAGCATGAGCGCTATTGGATTGCCCCTTAAGACACATTAGCTGACAAGGACCATGGTAAGTAAATTCCCTTCTGCAGAACCAACCAGGAGTTTTGTGGCACTTTAAAGACTAATAAATGTATTATGGCATAAGCATCTGTGGACAATTTCCATGAAAATTAAACCATAATACATTTGTTAGCATTTAAAGTGCCATAAGACTCCTTGCTGGTTTTGCTGCAGTTGACTAATGCAGTTACACCACTGGAAATTCACCATTTTGGTTCACTTCTGCTGTCTGCTACAATCTTTCCTTAATATGTTCAATGGTAGATTGAACAAATATACATTTGCCATCAGTGAGTCTGCACTGAAAATGCATGTAAATTAATTTATGTAATAAAATTGTTTATTTATTTAATTAATTAAAACGTTTTTATGCCGCCCCATTCGCCGAAGCCGAAGTATTATAAAACCTGTTGGTATATTTCTTAGATTTACACATAGCACACTATTTGATATAGTGTGTGTAAAGAAAGTACAATAGTAATTCATTGTTACCATCAATACAATTTACAATTAATATAGAAGTGTGATATGAACAATAAAATGACTGTACCTTGAAATGGAAAATTGCCCATTTCTTCTACTAATCAAAACTATCTTCTGTATGAATTAGCTGCTTCTCCCTGCATTCTCCCTAAGCTTTCCATCTGAACCTTCCTTCTCTGTCTTCTCCTTTTACTTTCTTTTTAACTGCATTGTATGTCCATCACCGGCTGACAGTGTCTTTACATCCAAAATGCAAAGCAGACAGATGGGCGCTTCAGGACAGAACATAACCAAGAGCACCAGCATCAGTGGGGAGATGTACACACTGGAGAAGAACGACGGTAGCCAGTCCGACACAGCAGTGGGCACTGTCGGTGCAGGAGGAAAAAAGCGACGCTCCAGCATTGGCGCAAAGATGGTGGCAATCGTGGGTCTTTCACGGAAAAGCAGAAGTACCTCACAGCTCAGCCAAACTGGTAGGAACAAAATTCCAATTTTTACTTTAACATATTGTTATTGATAAGACATAAAGTGAATGATTATAACTTAGATTTCTATATGGAAGTATCAAGGAAGTTGAAACTAAATTCACCTTTCATAATATTTATTAACCTGCTTTATTTATCCAGAACCTCCTTCGGACTGGACTGCTTTGGCCTGTATTGGTATGCTTACTGGACCACACCAAGCACAGTAATCTCTTTTCTTCTCAGGAAACATGGCTTGCTGTGTTTTGTGAAAAACAGCTAAAATGCAGCTGGTATAATTAATTTGGTGTGATTTCTCCCCTCTGAATAATTTTTTTATCACTGTTTTGTATTTCCTTTGCCATGGGATATTTGCCACTTAAAAGATTGGATATTGTATTTTAGATATAGTGAATTATTTCACTTTTAACTTTTATTTCTTTTCAGCTTCAAAATGTACTTATTTCAATATATCATTGGTTATAGATTAAAGTTAAATCTACTGTTCAATGTTCATTTACTGCCACCAGAATTTTAGGTGCTATATGCAAATGTAAGTGTCCTAGAAAAGAGAAGGCAGACTTCTGTTTTCTTATTTAGGCCTTATACTTCTGAATACAAATGTGCACAAGTAGCAGACAGCTAAGCATGCATATCTATAAAGAAGACTTTAGTTAGAATATCTGCGTTAGTGCAATATATTTGAAACAGAAGAAAGGTGTTAACACATTAACATCTTTGCTAAACTGCATCCATTGAATGAAGAATAAATAATGCTAATGCAAAGATGATATAACATCTAATTAAACACAGTTAATTACATTGGATTGATTGTATAAGTCATGATCTTAATATATAGTACTGTACATATTGGTAATGTTTTGGATTGTACTCCCAGCAGTTCCAGTCAGCATGGGCAGTGGTCAAGAATGCTGGGTGATGCAATCCAAAACATCAGGAGAGCACCAGGTTGGAATAGGCGGCACTGGTGTGTTTAGGAATGAAGTACATGTTTGCACAGTGTCTTCGACAAAGAGAGCCCTCTGTACCTCTTGACACTGCTAATTAGGTGATGCTTAAAGCCTGCATGATGCCAGTGCAAGTAATGTAATATGTGAAAAGCCTCAAGATCACACATTGTAGTGCCTGCCCTTACAGAAAATTTATTTATTTTTATTTATTTTTCGATTTATATCCTGCCTTTTTCCTACAAAGGGCTCAAGGCAGCTTATATCTCCTCCTCCATCTTATCCCCACAACAACAACCCTGTGAGGTAGGCTGGGCTGAGAGTCCGTGACTGGCCCAAAGTCACCCCGTTGGCTCCATGGCTGAGCGGGGACTCGAACCCAGATCGTCTGTGTCCCAGTCCCATGCTCTTCACCACTATGCCACACTGACAAAGTAACTGTAATAAATATTTTTTTAACAATAGGGTCTCAGTAGGGTACTGGAATTTGGCGTGGTGAGTTCTGTGAACTTTTAAATAATCATTCCCAACAATCACACCTTGCTTCTACAGGTATCATACTATCAGTCTTTTTCTACTGGCTGGGCAAAGATATATCAAATTAAATAATATTATTGTAGGGAGAAGTACTCATCTGTGAAAGGTCAGAATATAATTATGCTGCATTAAGTTCTCTGTTGAGTCCTTCATGTGATCCAGCAACATGTTTCTGACATGGCAACTGCTGAATGGGTGAATTAAAAAGTAGCCATGTGCAAACCTAGCAGATTCATATAGGCAAATCAATTTTGCATCCATCCGTATCATAATAAGATGATATAATAGTTTTCTCTATAGAATAATTTTGTGAGTACCAGCTTTCCACAATGTACCTGTTCAAAAATATAGGTGAAATACATTGTTTAGTTGGTTGAAATAAAGCTGAAGATTTTCACTGGTGCATGTCAGTTTCTGGGTTGCAAATAAGACTGTACAACTTGGAGTTTCAGATGACTTATTAAGGAGAAGCTGGATAATTAGGCTTTAGTCCAGAGAAAATTTAATGAAAAGTAAAAGAACTTAGTGTCCCATAATGGGTTATTGTAATCTAGGAATGGATTTCATGACTAAAAATTTGTTATAATCTGAATTAGATCCATGGTAATAATGTAGATGACAGAGTCTTATAAGTAGGAATAAGTTCTAATATTGTGTTGCTATGCTATCTTAGAATGTATAAATTTTTAAAAATTGTAGTTTAACACTGACATTAATATTTTCTGTCTAAAATCATGCAGTAAGCACCCTGTGTTTCTAAGCACTTATAATTAAAATGAATCTTTGATTTAGGGGTAAAATGTATGTTATGAGAGCACTGAACTTGGGTGGAATGTTATAAGGGATATCCAAAAGTAAATTTTCTAATAAGTTGCAATAGGATATACCTTGACCATTATATAAAGATGTAGTACTTATTTATTCTTACATATTCTCATTTATTATTGAAAATTCATCTGCCATTGCCTCCTAATCTTCATCTTCTAGGATTTGTATAGCATACCAGCTTTATGAACTGTGTTATTCACAAGTCTTTCAGTTCTCTGACATATTTGTACCTAATTCTGAAAAGCAGTGTGCTGACTGCCCATAACCTTTCCCTTTCTTGTATGGAAGGTGGTATAATGTTAGCAAAGACTGTTTTGAACTCTGCAGTTTGTAATAAAATAGCCCAGTAGGAGCATATCATATTTTTAAGAGTAAGTAACAGTGGGTGTATTTTCATGTATAAATCTTACTGCTCACTAGTGCTACTCAGCATTAAGCTGATAAACAGCAGAAGGCAAAGGTTCATAAATTATTGTAAAAGAATGTAATGCCACATTACATAAATACTCACATCCTAAATATTTGTACTATAAAATATGTCCTTGTGACATCAGCATAACACTCCTGCAGCATGAGCATTATCCCATGGTTTGTGAGATATTCCTAATGTATGTCTTCTTTTTACAAGTGGAACAGCAGCAGAATCCATTGTAATAACAATAATATTTTTAGGAAGCTGTGCAGCTGAATGACTCCCAGTCATATGTCAGTGCTGCTCTCTCTCTTTTTCTCTTTCTGTTCAACTTCTGTGATACGGTAGATTAGTTATTATTACATTTATATTCTGCTTTTCTCCCATGGAATTCAAGCTAGAGTACATAGAGTGTCAAGGTGGTCTCCTATCCAGGCATTGACCAGACTCATATTCAGCTCATTTGTTGCACCCAGTTCATTAAGGTCAATGTCATGGGACATACTAAATATAGATTGTGTCTGGAAAGTATTGCTGTTTCAAGTGGCATTGACATTAACCTGTTGTAGATTTTTTAAAAGAGCATATAACTCTTGTTATACAGCATACAACGATTTAAGTCTATACAGAAGTAAGCACTGCTCCTTATAAGTATGTTATATGAAATGCACTAATCCGTTAATGTAATGGCGTCATAATATGCTTGCCTACACATGGTCACTTGTTTATTTCAATGTCAGCATTGTTTTAAATTTGATTATACTTCAGCGCCTCATCATCCTCTCTGCAGTGTCATATGAAAAGATGTAAAGGTCTAGAAAAAAATCAATGGGAAAATAGTTTTTAATTCATTTTCATTATTTTCTCTGAGGCCAAAGAGGGGAAAAAAATGGAAAATTTACCAAAAAAGCGCTGGGTGGAACCATTCCTGAAGAAATTTTCCCTCAGTTTGGCCAGCAGCAAGTATTAATAACTTAAGGCCAGCAGCAAGTATTGCTTTCCTGGACAAGACTGATTACCTGGATCTATTTCTGTTGGAGTTCAGGCTGGGGAGAAACAGCTTTGGTTGGTCTTAATATGCCAGGATAGAAACAGGAGAGTGTGATTCTGTTGATGTTTTTCATGCCAGTGGCTTTTCTACCAGTGACCATGGTATCCTTCTGGGGCAACTCTCTTTCTGGGGAGCGGGAGGTACAGTGCTGTGTTGTAATTTGGAAGGCTGGCTCTAGAAGGTGGTGCTTGGCAATATTGTTCCACTCTTTGGATTCTCCAGCATGAATTTCATCAGAAGTTTGCAACATGCTATCTAACAAATAAAAGAAACCTCTGAGTGAAATCATCTGGAGTTTTGATGCTTGTTGCTATCAGTATGTGGAGGACATGCAGCTGTCTCCTTTTCATCTTTATTGAGTGAAGCTATGGATGTGCTAAACCAGTGTCTTGCTGAAGCAGTGGACTGCATGAGGATTAACAAACTGAAACTCAATCCAGACAAGACTGAGATGCTTTTACTAGGGGATCCTCTGACTGGTTGGAGAGTGTTCACCTTGTTCTGGGTGGGATGGCACTTTCTTTGAAGGAACAGGTTCACAGCTTGGGGTTCTCCTTGATCCATCATTGTGAATTGATGCTCCAGTGGGCTTCAGTAGGATGAAGTGCCTTCTCCCAGCTTTTTGCTGAGTTCCCAGCCACACACCTTTTCAGACACGGATATCCTAGTTTCACTATCTATGCTTTGAACAGTCTTTAGTTTACTGCAATGCAATCTATGTTGGATGCCCTTGAAGAATGTTCAGAAAGTTGTGCAAAATGTGGCAGCCAGATTAAAAATTGGGACTTGTAGGTCTGAACATATAACAGCAGATCCAGCCCTCTTGCATTGGATGTGGGGCTGGGTAGCAGGATGTGAGACCAAATTACCAGAGATAATTGGATGCTTCACAGGGAAGCTCATACCAAGAAGCTAAGTGTTTATATTTGCCTTGCCCCTGAGAAAGCCTGTTGACTTAGACAGAGCTGGGAAAGACTGAGATAGAATAAGTAATACCAAAACTTAAAGGATAAGTGGAAACCTGTATCTTTGTGATTAAGAAAAGATGAAGGGATTGAGCAATGCTGCTGAGGGCTGGAAGGAAGCAGACACAAGGCATGGCTATCAAACAGTGGATGTAGACTAATTAGAGTATTGAGATCTGCCTACCTAGATCTGTCTAAAGCTAGAGCTGAGCTTTGGTCTCCCTCATGTTTGGCTGGGTTAGATCAGT